GTACTTCCCAAGCAATTAGATCCTCAATGTAGGCTCCAAAAAGGGCTGTGCTAATTGTTGGAACTACCCATCTGGACTGAGAGGCACTTGGAGTAGCTGGGGATAAGGGACGAAACCCCTAAACCCTGAGTCCCTGAACGCCATGATCTCCATACCATCAAGTTTGTCATAACCCATAAGCCCCATTCTCCGGACCTGTGCTACTGAGGGTCTTTTGTTACCCTAACTCTTCGAAGTAAGACCCCATTATAGTTTTTTGATAGTTTCAGGGTCCCCTCATTAGAACCTCTATATACCCCAGTTTCCATTTCTTTTTCCATTTTCTTTTCTGTTTTGCCTCAAAGTTCTCTAAGCTTTACGTAGTCACTCTATATCCCAAATACTTTTGTAGCTTCCATTTTCTTTTCCGTTCCCCTAGGCCCTAAACCCATCCCTATTCCCCCTGACAGGAGGCGCAAAGCCAGTGGATCTCTAGGCTTGATCGCCAAGGGCGGCAGATGCAACTGGAAGAGTGAGGACATGTAGGGTTCTCGGCTATCCGGGCTCCTCCCGTACAGGGTTTTTATAGGGATTATGTAGGGGTTATTTCGTGGTTTATAGGGGTTATGTAGTGATTTTTCCGTGCCTCATATGCTAAGATGTCAGCAGCCTTGACTTCCGTGAAAGTTTAAGCTAGTGCTGCAGGCCGGAGGCCTCACATGCGCGGGCCTCACAAATGTTAAAATGATGAGTGGTAGGGTTTATAGAGGAACATAGTGGGTTTGGGAACAGGATAGTGCAGAATCACGTGGACATGAGATGGAAACTGGGAACATGCAGGGCTTTGTAGTTTAGGGCTTAGGGGTTTGTTTAGGGTTGAGGGTTTGCGGCTCAGGGTTCCGGGTTTGTTTTGTTCATGGTAAGTGTGATTCCGGCACCTGTTGTCGTCATCGACATCACATCATGCGTAGCACGCAGCATAACTCTTGACAACATCATAGTTTCATCACGGTTATCTGCAGGAGGACCACTACAATCAAGGTTCTTGCCTTCGTCTAGAATCTAGAACACGTTTGTTACATGGTGTTGTGGGGTTTATTGGGTGCAGTCTAGTTTTCTGGGATTAAGATTCTACGGTTTATGGTTCGGGGCTTAGATTTTACTAGGTTTTGACAAGGTTCCTTTTACAAAAGCGTTGATTCCCGTCTCCCAGGGGCTCCTGAGGCTTGTGTTGGCGGTAGCTACGGCGGGAGCCCAAAGCCTTACAAAACCGCAAAGCTATGTGCCCCAAGCCCTAGCATGTAGAGCCTGGTTTCGATGGGCACATACGCTGATGGGCATGGGTGTAAGGGTAGATGAGGGACACACTTGGCTTCCAGAAGTTGATTCTTATGATTGTGGTTGCAAGTCCGGAAGTTGGTTCCTTCCACAACTTGGTTATCTTGAATGAGCGCGAGCGAGCAAACGAGCAAAGGAGAGAGAGAGAGAGCGCTGCAGTGTCGTGCCTGATCAGACATCCTGCTTGGGGCATTGCCCCGGCCCCTTCCTAGTGGAGGGGTAGCTCGTGCGTGTGGCTGCTCTTGGAAAACAGCGAGGGAAATTGTACCACGACTACCTGCCATTGTTGTGGTGGACATGACAGCCATCAGTTTTGTAGCTTGTTCATAAGCGTTACCATATCTTATCTTTCATGATCGGTGGTAGTGATGACTGTTGTGCTTAGCAGAGTAACTATTTCCATGTTGGCCTGCTGACGCTTTGAAGGGACCGTCCCCTGGCCCAGGACTGGAAAAGAAGTAGCACAAGAAGACCCCGCATATGCACGAACTGTCTCCGTGCGGCCGTTCCTGCGGAGGCTGCAGCGTCTGCCACGAAGCCCTTAAGGTCGTGACCATGGTGTGCGCCAGACTTCCGGATCTATGAGCTGCGGCCTGACTCTTCGCTCCCGCCTATAGAGGCCGAACCGGTACAAGCTCACAAGGAGCTGCCAACCACCAAAGCTGTGGTTGACAGAATTGTCCTTTCTGTGAGGCTGCGCCAGCAGTATCGATTTTTGATAGACCTTCGTTTCAGCGGTCGCTGTGGAAGAGACATCAAATGGGTGTGCTCGGAACAGGTGCTCTATCTAGAAAGGTCGACTGTGCTTTTGCATGTGCCCCTCTAAGCCCTAAGCCCCAACAACATTAGTGAACATTTGTGTTCCCATGAAGCACTGGACCATGATGCGAGCTTAATCCCCTTCCCCTAATATTACACCCCCCCAGCCTCCTAATATTAAATACTCTCCATTGTGGTAGATTATGGTATATTGGGAGTTTAATATGAGGGGGGGGGTGATGGGGTTTAAACTCTAAACCACAGATCCTAAACCTTAGGGGTGGGGGGGTTAATATTAGAGGATTACACCAAGGCACCAGAATCCATTTGCTAGGATTTCGGGGTTACAATGGAGAATCACATGGACAACTTAGATGGAAAAAGAAAGGGAAACTGGAGTTAAATAGGGGTTATACAAGCTGTTCAGGAACTTCCATGTGTGGGTTATAGTTGATAGCCTGGAGCATGCGGGCAACATAGACTGGACAACTGATTGCACATACTGTAGTATCTGCAGATTGAGTAGGCTGCCTGAGAGATTTACTACGGGGCCCCCTGGTTTGAGAACCCCTGCTGTGCAACACCCCTGGCCCCTTAGTTCGAAGTGCGAACTTCCTAACGTAAGCCGAGGTGCCCCAAGCCCGGACATGCTGCCAGGTTTCAAACGCACAGGATACTAGTGCCGTTCTATCGATTTTTTGTGCGTATACTCTTGCGAACACGCTATTGCGCACTGTTATCCAGAAAGCATATTTTCCCTATAGCCCCTTCTCATAGGCTGGGTAGTTGCAGATGGTCATGAGCATCCTAGTTCAGATGGTAACCCTAGCTTCTACGAATAAGCCGTATGCAGGTACCTTCATGGTGAGAGCAACATATCCCTTCATCTTCCCACTTCATCCCAACGTACTTCTTCTGTGCCTTTGGGCTACCCGTTGTAGACTTCGTGCTCCGCTGGCCTCTCCGGGCTCCAGGGATTGCGTCTTAGGCTCTTCCAGGGCCCGGCGAGGTGCTGACAGAGACGGTGCCGGGTGGCCTAGTCTGGTAGAAAGGGTAGATGGGGGTTTCCGAAATTAGGGGATTTCCATACTAGGGATTATAGTATTTGGGGGTCTGCATTGGGGTCCCCTGATTTAGGGAAACTACCATACTGGGCTATACAGGGATGTGTGCGATCTAGGGTTTAGTCTGGGGCCCCTAGAGCTACTCGTGTCAATATTTTCCGGTGAATGTCAAGGCACGATGGTGTGTGCAACAATATCCACAACACTGGCGGAAGATCAAAACGGGGCTGGGAGCGCAGGGATGAGGGTTTGGGTTTGCCAATGCAGGGCCAAGCATTGAGGGTCCTGAGGCTCCAAGGTTGGGATTCTCATTCGCAAATCAAGAAGCTGGGATGGAACTGTGCTGCTCAGGTCCTGGTTTGTGGTTTGAGGTTGCTGGGAGCTTTACCTCTTGTCGCCTATGTGAGGTTTGTGGTATCCTAATGCCAGTGTGTTGAGGAGTAATCCCATTATTCCTTTCAGCAGGCGCATCTTGCTGGGCTGACTCAGTCAGCAACTCGTCCAAGACGGAGCCCAGCTCTCAGTGCTGCTGAGATGAGCCCGTTGAACTTTGGAGTACCGTAGGTGCCTGCCTGGTTGTTTCTCTCAGATACTGTAGGTATCGTACATCAACATGTAAGGCAGAACGCGATAGTACTTGGATAGACCAAGAAGGCGCAGTCTCCTTTGGTGAAGATTCGCGCCGCACAGCATTCAACCTCGTTGTAGCGTGACTTGATAGTTTCAAGGCGGCCTAGGGGGAGACTTGAGGTGCCTGAATGACACACTCCGCATGTTGACCACGTCACCAAAGCAATTTTTGAAGTTGATTTTGTTGTGCTGAGTTTCCTTCTGATTTATTTGCAAACTCCCCTTTAATGTCTTGCATGGCGTGTTAGTCTATGGCGGGTGCTTCCTCAATGAAGTTTGTTGTCTTGCACGCAGTAGTACTGGAGGTGTGCAGCGCAATCCTTACTAGAGCCCGACCAATGTGCTCAGTGCCATGGATCAGTGCATAGCAAATGCAGGTCTATGACCTAGGAAAGATTTCTATCTCCATTTCCTCTGCTGCTCTTGCTTCCGCTGCTGCTGCCGCTGCCGCTCTCCTTCCTTGGCCTCCTCTTTCTTTCACTCGTCTTCGTGGTCGTTGACCTGGAGGAAGAGAAAACAACTGCTACTTCTACCATGATCTTTATGGCTACCAGCAAGTACTACTAAACTCCTGACTTTGCTTTCAAGATACACAAGTTACGCCGCAGAAAAGCTCCGGGCTTTTGATTTGCTTTGGCAGGCACGAGCATCATGATGCAGTATGATTATGATATACCAGTCCAAACTAGTGTCTAGACGCATCCTGCGGGTAATGCAGCAGGGAGACAACAATAAGTTTCAAGCCAGCCCAAACCCTTGCGTCAGGCTTTGTCTGTAAGACTTGCGGTCGCATGAGAATCGACATTTGCGATGGAACAGCTCGGCTTGGAGTAGCATGCATCCTTGCTGAGTCGCTTTTAAGGAGCTTAAACCATAATATGGGTACATGGTAAATACTATTTTTTTTATATAGTAGTTAACCCTAGACCCTAAACCCCACACCCTAAATCCTATATACCCCATGTTTTGGTAACTTATTTTAAATTCCTTAGCTCAGCTTACCTGACCAACGCTGCAGCATGATATACTACCCTAAACCCTACCGCCCCCCCACCCCCTAGCTGACGCTTGCACTAGGTAAGGTGCGAAGGGGTGCTAAAAAAAGAAACCCTATAGTTGTTTCCATTTTCCATTATCCCTATAGAACCCCAATATAGTCCTTATAATCCCTATATAACCGAATATGGTAGTTTCCATTTTTTGCATGATCCCTATATGCAGCATGAGGCAATGCCACTGGAGGCAGTGCTCGGCTCAGTCTGAGCAGAAGGCATGTTTTGGTGCATCTGTACTGCTAGTATGGGATAATGGGAAAGAAAATGGCAACTACAGGGATTATAGGGGTTATATAGGAGTTATGTGGGGGTTGTATAGGGATTACAGGGTATATACTGTATGGGGAGTATATAAGGATTATATGGGGACTTTATAGGGACTATTGCAGTTGTTTGCACCTCTTGGGTCGACTCGAGTCTCTTGACTGGGCTGCTGTTAAGGAACTTAAGCTACCATCGTAGGGAACCCAACTTATGCACGATGTATCTACATATCCATATGCTTTTCAATGCCATCTAAGTTCCTGCAAAGCAACCCATTTATGGTTGTTGCTGCAGTTCTTGTCTACTATTTGAGGGGTCTCTGCAGCTAACCCTTTTAGCCCTTGTAGTTTCCATTTTCTTTTCCATCATCCCTATAGTACCCCAATATATATCCTATAATCCCTACTATATAACCCATTATAGTACTTTCCATTTCCTTTTCCATTATCCCTATATAACCCCTATATAATCCCTATACATAGTAGTTTGCAGCAGCTTGGCTCTGAGCAGGCTTGGAGACTGCCAAGATCTTGGCTGCCACAAGCAGCTCCATACAGAGAAACCTAGGCCCATGCAAGCTTGATTTCCGGAAGATAGCCAGGATCCAAAATGGGGAGCTAGTGTGCGAGAATTTTTTAAGAGATAGTTGCCCAAAACACCCTTGGTGTGTGAACCAACTCAATCTCAGCCATGGCGTCCCCTGCAGTTGTCTACGCCACCCACGAGACTAGAGTAGAGTTTTCAATGTAGATAGCCAGGGCTTGGTTGGAAGTCTGCTGGCTCCAGAAGAATGTCAAAGCCAACAGCCCAAAATCCCTAACTCTAAACCTTGTACCTTCTGATCCCCAAACCTCTCTCACCTGAACCCGAAACTCCTCACTCTCTGACCGTGCCCACAATTCTTGGGATGCGCTTTAGATCCCCTATAAATTGTGGAGGGACCTTAAGTAGTTGCTGGGCCCATACTCTATACCCTCCTATAAAGCCCAGATAAACCCTTAAAGGGACCTAAAGTAGCTGCTGTTCCTGCTCTGCCGCCATGGAAGACTTTGACCTGGTCTCCGAACCATCCACGGCCCAGGCATAGTATGAGACTACAGTCCCCCTTCAGTAGATAGAATATGGCTTTGGGTATATTTTTGTAAGATCCCCATATACCCCATATTCTATCTACTTAAGGGGGACTATACCTTAAGATCTCCTCAGGAGGTCATAGGGCAGGCATATACGTAAAGGTCTATAGGGCTACATAGCGATTACAGATGGTTAAGGGGTATAGTCGCCCAATAGATGGAGAATCAAATGGAAAAGAAAATGGACGCTGAATTGGACACTACATGTTGGGGTTAAGGGTTAGGGCTCAGGGTTTAGGAGTTTCTCACAATGCAACCCTTTGAAGCCAAGCCCCCCCAGGGATACATCGGAGTTATCAGGGATAATGGGATCCATATTAGGGACTGTCATTGTATGGGGCACTTGGAGGCTTATACTGCAACATTTTTTGGGGGTATATGCAAGATGCCTATGGTACTCACTCAGAACTGCCCATTGACTGCCAAGCAGGTGTTCTAGCGGGCTCCGCTGTGTTGGTTGTTCTTGATTTCCGCAGGATGCTGTTGCTTCACGCATTTTGAGCACCATCGCTGTCGTCGTCATCATTACCATGGGTGTTGTGTTATCATCAGAATATCACCATACTTGTTTCGTGCACATTTGTTGACATTTGTGTGCACCTCGCAAGATGATTGCGCTACTGTCGGCTCCTAAATGATTGCCAGCATTATTTTGAGGTCTGTTTGAGGTAAATGCGGACAGAAGTCATTGGCGTTTAAGGTGAGACAGAGTGTGTATTACACTCAGGTCGGTTCGGCTAACTAGTTAGAGGGCAGAAAAGCGGCAAATGAAGAAAGAGTGTTCAGCAAATTTTGTTCAGGACGTTCCTGATATTGCGAAGGATTTCATCAAATTGTTGTAGCCAATCAGCAGCCAAGGAGTCAGAAATGATTCCAGGACTGGCACAGGAACGTGTAATTTTGCTTGGCTCAGCAGAGAAGCGCATAAATTTATGACAGAAAAAGCACGTTTCGTTGTCACTCCAGCAAGGCTGAACGACATGAGCCTTCAAGTGTGTGTTCGACATTTGGAGTCGAAGAAAGGTAACAAGAGCGTTTTTGAAATTGGTATACCTGTTAAGAGCGGCCTTGAATCGGCCTTTAGCCCCAGGTGCTTTTGGAATTTTTGCCCGGATCTCATCAGCCGTGAGATTCATCCAATCCTTGAGAGAGATTTGTGTGATGGAAGTAATACGCTCCAAAACGAGCATCGGGTTTTTTTGAAGTTCAAGTACAGAATCAACCCAAGGCGGCGGTGGCTTCTTGTGAGCAAAGGTGGGTATAAGCCAGGAGCCGTCAAGGGCTTCCTTTCGGAGGAAGCACTGAAGTTGAGGTATAGCGTCAACAAAATCAGTTGTTGCAATGCGAATTGCGGTGGCATTGCAATGGTGATTAATACGTATAGTCATATTAAGCTGATGCAGGTTCTGCGCTGCATTCGTAAGATCCCAAGAATGCGTAAAATAAATGCCGTGAGGAAAACTAAGCTCAAGGGGAAAAAATGGCAACCACTTACTGGGAAAAGGCGGATCATATAAACTGAAGTGCTGATTTTGCTCAAGTGTTCTGTTGAGCAAATGCATGGAGAGTGCTTTGAATTTATAGGCCGCCATCCCGACGTTTTGGCAAACGGTCAGAAATGGGGCAATCTTACCTCCCACTTGTACAAAAATAGCAAGAGCTTGTGAGCACGTCTTGATCACAACAGCTTGCGGAGATCGTGCAAGTGTGGTTTTGGTCCAAAAGGAGAAAATCAACACAAAATCTTCCAATGTTGCAGCCCATTTATTTAAGTCAGTGCGCGAGACGGGCGGTTTCCACTGCAGCGGTAGCAGTTCTGCACGCTTGGTGAAAGCTTTTTGAGGTCTGTTTGAGGTACCCCACACCATGTTTTCACAAGGACTCTAGGACCATAGCATTGGCAATCATGCCTTTAAAACCCCTCAGAACCACAGTTTCCATTTCATTTTCCTCTTTTGTTATCCATTTGATCTTCCATGACGGGATGTTCTTCGTAAGCATTTAGGACAGTGTAGTAGATCCTCAGCTCTGAGCTCGAATCCTGAATTCCAATCCTCCTTGGTTCACTGTAGTGTGAGCCATTAAAAGGGGATTGCAAACGGTACTATATAGGGGACTATTATAGGGGTTATTAAGGTGGATACTAGGAGTTTAGACTTTAGCTCATGTATGTTAGACGGCTTCATGATCGCCCAACCACAAGACATCTGCGAGCAAGCCCTAACTCTGTATGATTATGATACCTGTAACATCTTAGCAGGCAAGAAGGGAATATAAGCCTTATATCATCCCAATAGAATATATTCCCTTATTACTTGCGAAGAACCAGTGAGACAAGCGCCAGGTAGATTAATTTTGAGTATCTGGAGAGAGGAAAATGAAAGGCCCCAGCCTTGACCAAAACCCAGAAATGAAAGCTTAACAAATTGACTTATCTTGAAACCTCAGCCCCTGATAAGTAAACCCTTTAAATCCTGAGCCGTGGCTGCTAGGTGCTGATGGGAGCAAGGTCCCGGCAGGGCGGCGCTGGGGGTGGCGCTGGGGTCGGCAGAGATCCGCGAGCTGTGGACACTTGCCTTGTGGTCATCGGAAAGTTTGATTTTCGTCGTGCAGGGGTTTCTTGGGGAATTTCACAGAAGCATTTTCAGGTGTGTAGTTGCAAAGATTTTCTGTGCGACTTTGGGGTGGTGGCAAAACATGTGAGACATGTATGTGGAGTATACAGGGAGGGTTCTCAAAAAGCACAGTGATCATGCAGATTTCAGCGCTCTGGGTCTCCTACAGACGTTATTGCGTCATTGAGGTGATTTGTAGGGCCTCTAGGCCTTGCGCATTAGATTGGAGTCTCCGAAGAAGGGTTCAGGGTTTTGTGGATTTGGTCCGGATACCACCGGAGCCTCAGCTTATCAATATGTACCATAGTCTAAACTCCTCAAAGGGTGTTATATAGGGAATTATGTAGGGATTACTATAGGGGTTATTGAGGGGGATACTAGGAGTTTAGACCATAGCTAATATGCTCACAAGTGTCCGGGCTTCAGGCAGGCCAGGTTGGCTTTCGTGGATGTGCCTTGTGTTTTGTGTAGGGAACTGAGACAAAACATACACATGCACTAGGAGGACTCCCCACCCTGTAACAGTGGTATACCGGGCATATAAGAGGACCCTAATCTAATCCTTAGCATCCCTTAGGTGGGGGGTCCACCTAACTCATGCATTAGTTGATAGTTGTTCGGCCTGCAGCGCGGCTTCTCTCAGGGCCCAGAACTTCAGGGCAAGTCCAAATATTCAGGATAAAGGGCATGGTACCTCCCTTCAGATGCAGTAGATAGCTTGAATAGGGGGACCCCAATACAGACCCCAAAAAACTATACCTCTCAATCGGACTCCCCAAAAGGTATCCCCAATTTTGGGAAACCGCCACGTACAACCGAGGCAATCGAGCTGGACGATTTTGACTTCGATCCGAACTCGAACATGCCTCCTGGATTATATTGAAGGTATGCATCCCCAGATTTGCCGTCCACATTGTACCCCAAAGCTCTGCCCCCCCAAATTTAAATAGGCATAGTAATAATACTAATAATTTAAGGGCTGCCGCCGCTGC